CTTTAAAGTACTTTAAGGTACTTTGAGGTACTTTAAAGTACTTTAAGTACTTTGAAGTACTTTAAGGTACTTTAAAATACAAAAGTACGGTGTTTCCCCCTTGGCATGTGTGCATGCTATGGGTACCGTGTAAAGTCCGCGAGAGCGTCCTGGTAGTTGAGTGTCGGGTTGTCTTGTCAGACATTGGCCAGAGATGTTTTCACATACGTATCATATTTGGAGTTGTGTTGTGAAAGTATTTGTAGCGCGTGAGGATGATTTAGTTGAACTATTGCGGTGTTGACCATACCCTGGTGGCTTTGAAAAGCGGAACCAGATTCAGAAAATCTAGAAAGATTATAGCTGATGTAGCTCTCATGGAATCACATGATAAATGTGGCAAAGGATTATGGGGCGCTTTGTTTTTGTGTTGTTTTCAATTCGTTGGGTGCAGAGTTGTTTTGGAGACGAATTCTTGCATTTTCTGGGATAAGTGGTTTTCTGAAAAATATATGGAAGAATTTTTCTTTAACGGATTTGTAGTCTTGCCTATATTTAATATTGAGAGATTATTTTTGGAATCATGGGTAGATGTGTCTGCTTTATAGTAGCCCTAGCATCAAATAATACGAACTGTGCACCTCCTGTACCCTCTGATACCTCGTATTCCTGCTATATGATGCTTTATGAGAGTTTTCCCAGAAACTCAATTAAATATCGACGGAGAAGGTATGGGAGATTTAGGAATATAGGGTATTCAGGGATATAGAAGATATGGGGTAACCAGTGCAGATAATCCGTAAATAGCGCTTGACTTTTAATAGTGTTCTATTCTGATATATTCATGCAACTTATCGATGGTTGCTCGAAGAAATAATCAAAATAAATAAATAACTGTTTACTATATCTTCTATGTCTCTGGGTTCCGGTATTTCGCCAATAAGACTTTCGCCAATACACCCCATGGAATTTCGCCAATACATCCCATGGAATTTCGCCAATACACCCCATGGAAGTTCGCCAATACATTCTGTGGAGTTCCGCCAATTGGCGAAAGTTCTCCGTACTTTCGCCAATATACCCCTGGACTGCCGTCAATTGGCGAAAGTCCACTATACTTTCGCCAATACATTCCCTAGAGCTTCGCCAATGGGCGAAAGTTCCTTGTACTTCCGTCAATATATCCACAGGACTTTCGCCATTGATGAATGTCTTATTGACGAAATTCTTATCGGCGAACATCCCGCCACCCATATCTCTATATTTCCTTCATATCCTACATCTTCTTTATCTACTGTATCTTCTGCGTCGGTATTGAATTGAGTTTTTGAGGAAACTCTCCGAAGACATGTAATCACGTCTACGTTGATGTGGATGCTGTGAAAAGTGGAAGCCTACTCGAGGAATTATAGAAGTATTATTTGAAAGTTCAAATGTTATCGTAGAAAGTGGACTCTGACTGCACGGAAAATGGTTTACACCACTTTAGTGGTTATTATTTCGCTGTGGAGTTTTGTTTATAGTTTTGGAGGAGCAGTTCGAGACATGTGGTAGGTTCCCATATCCTCGACATCGGTAAAAAATCGGTGATTTACCGCGATATATCGAAACGATAATCGTGAGTTGAATCGGGATTCATCGCCGATTTTTTTCCGATATTCCAACGATTTTTGTGATAAATCGCGATTTTGAAATGGATTATCGTCCTTCTTTCTGTTAGTTCTAGGCTTTATTTAGTGCACATAGTTTCAATTTTTGCATAGATTCACTATGTCTTATTATTAATTTATAGTGAACAATCATTTTTTATTAAAAATCTCACTATATGCATTATTCTTTATGAACACGACATACAAAAAACACATAAAGGAAAAATTACGAATGCAACAAACAATTATTCACAGTTAAATCAAAATACAATTGAAAATGAAAAAAAAATGAAAAGCTCATATGTAAAAATTAGTTTCTTGATGGAGGTTCACTTGAAAAAATGCTGCCGATAGTCGTTTTCGTTTATGTGTTATACATCTAAAAAATAAAAAATAAATATAAATTTCAATTCAAGAACAGGACCATAAAACTAATGAGTAAAGATCTAGCATATTAAAATGTTAACTTTTTTAATTCTATATCAGTCAAAGATTGAAAGATTTATCTAAAAGTAAATTTTTAGCAAAAATATTCAGTTAAGAAAATAACTGATCTGGAAAGAATAGCAGAAATAAAATTATTCATTATAAAAGAAGTTGTTTTTAACATAAACGACTTATAGAGTGTATACGAAGCGTCTTCTTCTTTATTTCAGTTCAATTATTATTCGAAATCCTCCAATCTTATACGTGTCACAGTAGCGACGTCCATACAAAAAGAATTCGGTTTTTATCTCTGGATTTCCATGAATATGTTAGAAAGCGATATGTGAAATATATTTTACTCTTGGTTTCATACAAACTTTTGAGTATGTTTCTAATTAATTGACAATTAAGAATAGAATACAGAAAAACAGTGATTAAATCGCGATTAGTCCTTTGATTTATCGCCGATTTCGAAAATATCATTTCTTTTACGATAATCGCAATAAAATCTGATTTAATCGCCGATTTTTGTACAGAATCCGATTAATCGCCATTTTACGCGGATTTTTTTGAGAATCGGAAAAATCATCGCGATTTTCGCGACATGGGTTCTTTTCGAGGATTTAAAAAGAGTTTTCTGGAAATCCAATTTATGCCCATTATATCCATTATGCCCATTATGCCCTGTTCCAAATAAAGTCCACAAAAAAAAGAGTTGCCTGAAAACCAATAGAATGCATCAAATCGCATATTGAGCCAACAGAAAATTAAGTTTTCAATTCTGATCTAAAAGAAGACTGATATTATTTGTGATTTTTTCCTTTGGATGATTATAATATCTTTAGAAAGAAGAAAACAATCAAAGCACATATAACAGTGTTGTTTTTTCGTTCTTATATGGAAGAAAAATAGTTCTTTTTAAATCACCAAAGAGCAGCAATACAATGCACTACGGCATCGAAAAATCTTATCCTTTTTTTCTTTACAACATAATTTTCTTTTACGACTATTGAAATTCGATACTAAACGTCGACAAACAAAAGCACATTTGATGTTGTAAAAAAGTCAAGAAAAACAACTCTTATCGGATCAATAGAAAAAAAATATTTCTGACTGAATTTCAAACAACTTCTCTCCATTGTCGGTTAGTTATAAAGTGGCAAATAAATTCAAAATGGATGGGCAAAAGCAGAATGAAATGCTTTCTACATCCATAACGGATGCGGTAACAACTGCAACGACATTATCGTGTGTTATGGAACCAACACAATGCATGACTGAAAGCTACGTAATTATCTGGATCGACGAGAACATTCACCCAAACACTGAAAAATGTAAAAATACACTAACACAGCTGCAATACGTGACCGATCAAGTATATATTTTCACCACATCCGATGAAGGTATAGATTTTCTCACTGATATCAATGATCAAAAAGCATCTCTCATTCTGTCAAATCCTAAAGATCAACACATTATACCTATCGTGGATGATATTTCTAGTCTTCTGAGTGTGCATATATTCTGCAGCACAGAATCCCTAATCCATGATTGGAAAAAGAATTCCAGCAAAATTAAAGGTATGCACACAGATATCAACCGTCTCTGTGAAGCACTACTAGATGGCATCAAACAATGTTACCAAAATGATATCGCTATGAGTCTTGTCAGTATCGGTAAAGATAACTTGAAAATAAACCTAGATCAAATAGAACCCTCCTTTATGTACACACAATTGTTTAAAGAAATTGTCCTTGAGATCGGTCACAGCAAAGAAGACATCACAGATTTTATTAAATTTTGGCGCGGTAAATGTAATGACAATAAGACAACATTAGATACTATCAAAGATTTCGAGAAGAATTACAGTCCTGAAAAGTCAATTTCGTGGTACATTCGTACAACTTTCATCTATCAGACGGTTAACCAATCACTTCGAACATTGGATACTCTAACAATGAAGAAAATGAGCTTTTTTATTCGAGATCTTCACTGCCAACTTGAACAATTACATAAAGAACAGTTTAAAAAAGCAGGAAGTGATGACTTTGTTGTGTACCGCGGCCAAGGATTGTCCAAAGCTGACTTCGACAAACTGAAAAAAACCAAGGGTGGTCTTCTATCCTTTAATAACTTTTTATCCACCAGCCGAAGTCGCGATGCATCCTTCGTTTATGCTGAAAGTAATGCATCAGTAGCTGACTTCGTCGGGATTCTCTTCATAATGACTGTTAGATCGTCAATTTCTTCAACTGCTTTCGCCAACATTCAAGGGATGGGTCCATTCCACGATGAAGAGGAAATTCTCTTTTCTATGCACACGATTTTTCGTGTCAACGAAATCAAACAGATCCTCAACAATTCCAACCTATACGAAGTACAACTCATTCTCACCAACGACGATGATCCACAACTATCTCTTCTCACACACTCAATACGGCAGGAAAACAGCGGAAATGGCTGGAATCGCATGGTTCACTTAATGTTCACACTTCACCACTACCAAACAGCCCAGGAAATTTGTGATCACCTACTAGCCACATCTTCCACGAACATAGAGCGAGCGAATGCCCTGAATAGCCAAGGAGCAATCGAAGACCAACGAGGCGACTACCAAAAAGCACTTTCATCGTACGAAAGATCACTTGAAATCCTCAAAATAGCTCTCCCTCCGAATCATCCCGACTTGGCTACTTCCTATAACAACATCGCTTCAGTGTATGATAACATGGGCGAGTACTCGAAAGCACTTTCATCGTACGAAAGATCACTTGAAATCCGAAAAATAGCTCTCCCTCCGAATCATCCCTCCTTGGCTAGTTCCTATAACAACATCGCGTCAGTGTATGATAACATGGGCGACTACTCCAAAGCACTTTCATCGTACGAAAGATCACTTGATATCCAAAAAATAGCTCTCCCGCCGAATCATCCCGACTTGGCTACTTCCTACAACAACATCGCTATGGTGTATTCTCACATGGGCGAGTACTCGAAAGCACTTTCATCGTACGAAAGATCACTTGAAATCCGAAAAATAGCTCTCCCTCCGAATCACCCCTTATTGGCTACTTCCTACAACAACATCGCTATGGTGTATGATAAAATGGGCGAGTACTCGAAAGCACTTTCATCGCTAGAAAGATCACTTGAAATTCTCAAAATAGCTCTCGCTCCGAATCATCCTTTGTTGGCTACTTCCTACAACAACATCGGAGGGATGTATAATAACATGGGCGAGTACTCGAAAGCACTTTCATCGTACGAAAGATCACTTGAAATCTTCAAAATAGCTCTCCCTCCGAATCATCCCTCCTTGGCTACTTCCTATAACAACATCGGTATGGTGTATTCTCACATGGGCGAGTACTCCAAAGCACTTTCATCGTACGAAAGATCACTTGAAATCCGAAAAATAGCTCTCCCTCCGAATCATCCCTCGTTGGCTAGTTCCTACAACAACATCGGTATGGCGTATTCTCACATGGGCGAGTACTCGAAAGCACTTTCATCGTACGAAAGGTCACTTGAAATCTTCAAAATAGCTCTCCCTCCGAATCATCCCGACTTGGCTACTTCCTACAACAACATCGCTATGGTGTATGATAACATGGGCGAGCACTCGAAAGCACTTTCATCGTACGAAAGATCACTTGAAATCTCCAAAATAGCTCTCCCTCCGAATCATCCCGACTTGGCTACTTCCTACAACAACATCGGAGGGATGTATAATAACATGGGCGAGTACTCGAAAGCACTTTCATCGCACGAAAGATCACTTGAAATCCGAAAAATAGCTCTCCCTCCGAATCATCCTGACTTTGCTCAATCCTACAACAACATCGCTATGGTGTATGATAACATGGGCGAGTACTCGAAAGCACTTTCATCGTACGAAAGATCACTTGAGATTTTGAGAAAGTCGGTGCCTTCTACTCATCCTCATTTGGTACTTGTGAAAGGAAACATTGAAGATTTAAGAAACAGATTTTAGTAGTTTTATCTTTTATTCTGCAGAAATAAAATTGTTGAAATGTTAGTTTCGATGAGGACCCTCATCGCTTTCTTTCTTGGGATGGAGAAGTTGAATAGGAGTTGAGGTGTTTGTAAGAGCGATGCTATAAATTCCAGTTGTATTTAGCAACTCAGAAGTTGCTATTGCGATGGGGCGCGTGCGAGTGTGAGTATGGATATGGCCGTTGGTGTGAGGTGGGATATCAGTGCATCTGTGGTAGTCAGCTTAGCAACACTGAGAGGGAGATACACAGTACCCATTGGGTCCGCATGCACGTCGCAGTAACACATTTGCACCCGCAATTACACTCACATGTCTATCCTTATCTTAGGAATTTTTCAATTGAAGAGACTCCTTGTTGTTTACTTATGTTGAGTCAATATCTTTCAGATTCTGCAAACGATTTCCGAAAAAATATTAAAATAGATGATCTCTCTATGATTGTATAAAAATTTTGTGGAGCTGCATTTGATAATCTAACGGAATCTGAGTTATTTAAAGCATATCGAAAGATTTCAATGTAAATCTGCCATCTCTTAGTCTTCATTTTAGATATGATAGAAAGACAGCGTTTGAAATTCTACACCTTTTGGTAAATTCAGTTTTCTTTTTTCTTGGGCAGAAAAAAGTTTTTCCAAGATTAATTTATTTTGAGATCTATAGTTTTTTTTGTAGGTATTCAGTGTTTTGGATGATAATCATAATGTCTATAGTTTTTGTTGTATTTTAATGTGGTCGTCAGGATTAATAACATAGATCGACGCAGTTTTTCACTTTCTACAAAACGATGCTAGAACTAATTGTCGCAGGCACAATTCGTTGAAAGACAGTCAGTTACAATAACATAAATCAATCAAAATTAGTAATTATCTATTTTTCAGCAATCAAGCAACTTATTCATTTACGTTTAACAAATGTAATTCGATGAACATAGATATTATTAGAAATATAACTAATAACTAAACTTCGATTTTTGATCGGGTACAGTATAAGAGCCTTCTTCTGCCGATAAGAAGTTAGTTTATTCGAGCTATACAAGTGATGAGAGTTTTCCTATAGTAGTGGAAGTACAAATACATATTTTCTAAAATTTATGCTGCAGTTCAAGATTTCTGACAATGAGAAAATACCTTGGAAAAGACTAACAAAATTTAACGTTCAATAATGAAGAGCAGCATTGAAGTCATCAAAAACTTTTAACGAATTTCTATTTTCAAATCTTCGGGTTTGACGCACAAATTCTATTATTTTAGGGACCATCGCGTGTTATTGTATACATATAAATAATAGTTAGTAAAGCAAATGTGGAATAGTCTTACTATATAAACATATAATACTTGCTGAACTCTATCGAGTCTTTGTTTTGCAATTATTGCAGGTCTATACTAAGCAGATTAGCCTCAAATAATATATACATGTATATATATGATTCGATTCTAATTTATTTTAGTACGATACTAATCTGAGATAACAATGGCACATAGTCTCGAAGCGAATGATACGTCTACATTATATTATTAGAACATGAGAACTTGCTTTGTTAGAAAACTCCATCGATCAATGAAGATACTGTTATATAGAATTAGCTCCTGATCTGAAAGGCTTAGATCCTAAAGGTTTCTAAAATACCGAGCATTAAATAATCAGAAACGAATTATTCATCCCGAATAATGCCTAAAACCAGATCCATGCTTTTGGCGAAATAATTCAGTGATACTTAAATAATCGCTCGATTATTGATGTGAAAGATTTAGTTTTATTATTTTCAATAGCATAATTGCACGCTAATTGTATTGTTACAATTATTAATGTTGAAAAAGTTGTAATCCATTTTATTGATAGCCTAAAACTCAGATATCTTGTAGTTCTAGAATTAAAAGGAAGAGAAATATAATCCCGAATCAGATGTTCTAAAACTATCAACTGATATTCTTTTAACAGAGAAATATTTTTCTTGAAAGAAGTTGAACTAGTTCCTGATACAAGCTAAACATTTGTTCCAAGCTTTTTTGCAAATCATTGTATATATATATAAAACTAGTCGAATTGAGTTATTGATTCATAGAATGTCAAGAAGAATTCTGATGATACATTGTAATCGAAGGTTTTTGACATCCTATTAATATTAATCATGGAGAAGACAAATTCGACTTTTTTTCTTGCTAGGATTCTTTGTAGTCGACATGCCGAAATCAAAAAATCAAAGTTTAGTCATTAGTTGTATTTTTCATAATTCTTATGGACATTGAATTACATGAGTCAAACTTAATCGAATGAGTTGTCTGGCCGTTGAAATATAGATATTAATTTTGATTGGCTCATGTTATTGCAAAGAATTGTTCGTGCCACGAATGGTCCTGTGACGAATTGGGTGTGAGTGTAGATATAAATGGCAAGCGGAACTACACTCATAGATAAGTGATTCGACAATTTATTATTTTTCGCATGCTGATGCTACACCACTCAGGTTCAAGACATACGGCGGGAAATCGCTTGATCAGGTGAATTTTCAGCGATTTCAGGGTGGCAATATTCCCAAATCGGTTCTGACCTCCGTTTCCTGCTTAATTTCCGTGAGTTCCGGAGTCCGGAAGCGATGGTCGGATACGGATGCCTGTTTCCAGTACGGTTCCAGCGACTTATAACGGCGACAGGATACGAGTCGTATACTGTAGTTTCTGGTCTGGTTACGAAGCCCAGATCCGGCTGTTTGAAGTTCGGCTATGGAGTTCGGATCCGATCACAGGATACGACAAGATAGGAGTCGGATCCCGCTAGTTCCAATTGAATGGATTGAACTTTTAAGTAACGTTCACATCCACCCGCACACCCTACTCACGGGTTATTCTATGGACGTACCCAGAAGTCCTCATGGGCTATACTATAGAGGTATCCATAGATCCTCAAGGGCTATTATATGAAGGTACCCATAGATCCGCAAGGACTATTATATGGAGGTACCCATAGATCTTCATGGGCTATTATATGGAGATGGGCGTGGATATAGGTACTTGTGGGACTTCACAATCCACGTGGGCACCCACCACCACACTCACACCCAGTCAAACTCAAACCCTAGGTTTGACTGAGTTTTATTGGGTTTGGGTTTGATGTGTATCATGTAGAGATTAGATTTGTGGGGATATTTGTAAAACAAGCGAACATCCCCAACTCGAGAGCTGATATTATCAGTAGATAGAGCTCGCTGGATTGACTCCACGAACGCCTAAAACGGTTGAACAATAAAAAAATTTTCCAATGTACACTGATTTTTTTTTAATCAACGAACGCCTGTATCATTTGACAGCGAGTAGCCCTACTCGAGTTAGGTGCATACCCAAAATTTCAGCCTTTTATGTGCTCTTATAAAAAAAATAGCAGGGATCGACCTTTTCAATTTTAAGTCTCACACTTTAATTTCGCTAATACATTCAGAATTCGATTACTAGGCTTAAAATTGAAAAGGTCGATCCCTGCTGTTTTCTTTATGCAAGCACATAAAAGGCCGAAATTTAGGGTATGTGCCTAACTCGAGTAGGGCTACTCACTGTCAAATGACATAGATGTTCGTGGATATTCGTGGAGCCAACTTGGCGAGCTTTATCTATTGATAATATCAGCTCTCGATTTAAGGGTGTTCGTGGGTGTTGTTCGCTTGTTTTACAAACATCCACGAAAATCTAATCTTTATGTGATATACATCAAACCCAAACCCAGTCATACCTTAGTGAAACCTTATCAAACCCAAACCCAATAAAACTCAGTCAAACCCAGAGTTTGGGTTTGACTGGGTTTGGGCGTGGTACACCTCTACGCTCATTCACATCCACACCCCACACCTACACCCACATCCACCACCTCCCACACCCACACCCACACCCTTCACATCGACGAACCTCTCGGAAATAGATTTCTTTTGGTTATTCGGATATTTTGCTGCCATATTAAAACTGAAATGAGATTTGTGCGAGATGTGGAATGTTTCTGCTTATGAAGAAGGCAAAAAGGTGTAAATAAGACTATAGTGAACACTGTTCCCTTCATATTTTCTGTTCTCAACGACATATACACTATGCAACTGATAAAAAAGGGAGGTAAAGATGAGTAACAACAACTTTTCAAACATTATCTAGCTGGTATTCTTTTCTTCTTTGTTATTTCAGATAAACAAAGACACCTGATAAGTAACGCATTGAGGGTGTGAGTGTGAGTATCGATGTGGGTGTGGGTGTTTTAGTCATGCTATACCCACACCCACCCTAAACCACTACTAGAATTAGTCATTCAAAACGTCAATAATCAAGTTCATATATCATCTCTCGAGAGTGTGGGTGTGAGTGGATGGTGTGAGTGTATATGGGGTGTGGATGGGTAGTTTGAGTGTGGGTGAAGGTGCTTGTGAAACTTCAGTCCACACCCACATCCACACCCTACACCCACCCTATTTATCTCTTCTTAAACAAATGCGTGCTATCGAAGGCTGTGTGTGTGGAAGAAATCAATATTCTCGCACACCCACCTACACTCTCTCAGCTTTGACATGAAACAGACAGTATCCTATGCTCATCGGAAGTATGCGACTAGTTGTTGAAAGACAATATGATTCATTCATATCCGAATATCAGGTCAAAACATTGTTGGAAGATGATACTTTGATACAAACTCTAGAGAAATCTAGTCGAGAAAATGTACTCTATGAATTGCTTATATTCAAAGAACAATTTGATGACAATGAATGAACTCTAGTAAGTTGTTGTTTGAGTCATTTATCCAATCTGATTGAATTTTCAAACAAGAACATTTCTCAGAAATTGAATAAACTATGAAGAAGTTTTTTTTATTATTCATTTCATTTCAGCCATTTGATCTCATTATTCCCGAGATTCATCTTTGTTGGGATATTGTGTTTTTGAATTACTGAAACATCTGACATGAAACGATACAATCAATCTATTTTCCACTAATATTCTTCCTACACT